TTACACAGACACCCCTTTTAGATTAGGTCATATTTCAGTTAAATGAAGATTTTAGTTTTAACTTTCACTTACACCCCAATTTACTTTTTGGCCTCTGACACATGCCAATTGACCCTTTTACCCTCAATTTTTTAATAAAAAATTTATGTAATTTCACCCATATATATATATATATATATATATATATATATATATATATATATTGTTTTGTATTTTGCTTTCTCCCTCCTCTTTGTTTTCTCTCTCATCTCCCTACAGATCAAAAAATATCATCAAAACTCTGTAATCAACAATCCAAATCCACACACCCAATCACTACCCCCACTATCAACACAACTAATTCAACCACCCAATCACCAATTCAGATCACTGCCAACAAACAAATAAACAAACAACTGATTGGGATTTTGGTAAAATTCAATCAAATATTCTACCCATCAAGTGTAATACCCCTATATTTTAAAAGAACTAATTATTGAAATTTATTTATTTTTATTTTTAATTAAAATGACTTGTTTGATTTAATTGGGTTTAATTACTTTTGTTTTGTTTTTTAAATGATTTGTTTTTTTTAATTGAGTACTTAGATTAATTATCTTATTTTAATTAAATTATATTTCGTGATTATATATGATGATTGTTTGTGTGTGTGCTTGATTATTGATCGAATTGTTGGTGTGTTGATTTAATTGGTATAGTGTGACTTAGTTGTAAATTCTTGTTTTGTTTATGTGTTTCGTGTAATTAGTTATTTTAATTTAAGTGTTTATTTAATTATTTTATTTATTTAAATCAATTGGATTAGGCTTAAGGGAAGTTGGACCAAAGGATGTGGGCTTGGATGAAGTCTTGTTGGGTTAATTATTAAAGGCCATTGGTTATGAGATTATTTAAATGATCATTTTTGTATAATTATAAATATATATATATATATATATATAATTATTATGGAAGGATATATATATATAATTAATTAATAATTATTATGGAATGATATATGGATATATATATAATTATTGATATATATATGTGTATATAATTTAATTAATTAAGGTTTAGCATGGAAGGAAATATACATATATATATTATATAATATGTGTATATATATTTTTTTATTTAAGTTTATTATTATTATTATTTTGGTAGTCATAATAGGAATAACATTTGGGTTTTAATGTGTATAAATATACACATAAGGCTTTAGGATTAAAAGGTTTTTACGTTAGAAAAATAAGAGAGAAAAAGAGAAGAAGAATGACTGATAAAGAGGAGGCCGGATCAGAGAAATAAGAAGCCGGATTTGGAAGAGACAGACGAGTTCTTCTCTACTTCTTCTCTTACGACTCATAAGCCTATCACCTTGATTATCAAAATTATAGTTTTATTTTATTTTGTTGATTAGAATAATTTATTAATTGGATTACATGAGCATGTTTATTCTTTGCAAAAATTATAGATTTAAACATGTGAATATATATATATGTGTGGTTATGTTAATTAAATTTTATTTTCTGTAATTTTTATAGTTTGCTTTAATTATGTTTAGCATGATTAATCATTATAAATAGATTAAAATCAACTATTATGCTTGATTTATGACCCAAGAGGTTATTTATGGTTTCTGGAATTTTTTGGTATTTTACTATATTTTTTAGGAATTTATTAAATTTATTTTTCCTATATTTGTTTGGATATATATATATATATATATATATATATATATATATATATACTGTTTATACACACACACACACATACACACTGGTGTTTGTGATTAGCGCATCACTATGGGATTGTGATATAGTGCGACGCAACGTATGGTATTACGGTGCGCGCATATCATGAAGGGCTGTGATGACTTGATGAAGGGGCAGAGGCTCTGATGCGGTGCAGCATAATATGATATGGTGTTCATGCAAATCTGGACCATTGAGGAGGGTAGATTGATTCAGTCCAGCGCATCCACGGGGATTCAATGCAACCAGCCAATGGGGACGCGCTGAGTCACCCAGAAAGACAGCCAGCAAGCGTGGCCACTCCCCAGTGCATGTGGGGGCACGTGGGAAAAGGTGTGGAAGTTCATGCTGGGTGTTTGGGAGAGTGTGAAGGCACGTGGGGGCACGTAAGGGAGGTTTTTGGAGTCCCGGAACGGTCCTGCGAAACCCGGTGATGTTCCAAAATTAATTTCAAGCCTGTTCGGGTTGAAAGCAACCACTAGAGGAGATATTCTTAGAGTTCTGAGAGCCATAGAGTGTTATACAATATTTAGTAGTATTTAATTTGCGTAAATATAATTAATTATTATATTGTTATGGAAGAGAGTATATATATATATATCAACTCATCTATGCCTACAATTCAACCATAACTTTAAACTTAACAATAAGCTAATTCATACATAGACATCTCATGCATATTATACGCATATCATTAATTTAATAACCAGCCTATCAAGGTATACCAAATAAGAATAATAATATTAATTATCTTAAATAATATATACATACATACATATATTATTTAATATATATATATATACACACCTTCCATAATAATCCTTGATTATTTAAAATCATATATACATATATATAATAATATATATGTGTATGTATATATATTTAAGATGATTAATATTATTATTCTTATTTAGTTTACCTTGATAGGCTGGTTGTTAAATTAATGATATGCGTATAATATGCATGAGATGTCTATGTATGAATTAACTTCTTGTTAAATTTAAAGTTAGTATATAGTTGAATTGTAGGCATGGATGAGTTGTCAAAGGCTTAAATATATTGCCTACATATTTGTATGAATAAAATACATACATAGGAAGCACGGATGAGTTGCTAATTTAAAAGTATAAATATCTATACTTGAGAATACATGGTTGAATTTCCAAGGCATAAATAAATAGATTTATAATGGCATGGTTGATTTGCCAAATCATAATTAAATTGTCATGTGTTAGATGATTAAAATTTCATCTAGGGTTATTGTATGTATCAGTTGGATTAGGATTAGATATACTTATATTAGAATAATCTAGTACTTACAAGTTAGTGTATTATTTTATATAAATTAATAAAATATATTGATGGAGACATGGATAATTTGTCAAAGCATAGATATTAGATATATGATTTAAATAATTAAAATCATTGTTGAGTTTTGGATTAAATGAATTATTCCTTTATTTATAATTTATTGTTTAAATGATTAAATAACTGTCTAGGATGAAATTAAGGTTAAAGGAGTTTCTTTTTTAAAGAAAAATAAATTGTGGATTGGTTTAGGAATGATTATTCTTTAATCATTGTTTAATAGTTTTGAAAATTTAATAAACCTAGTAATAGATGTGATTGTTGTATTATATATAATTGTTTATATATATGTGTATCATCCTATATTAAAGTTAAAACTTTATTAGGATTGGTTTTAGTTAAAGATGATCTGTTTATTGGTTTTCAAAGGCTTGGTAGAGAGAGCTTGATCGTGGTTTTAACACACTTTATTTTTATCTTTCAGGTTATAGAGATTTGAGTCTCAAGGTTGAGGATCCGCAACTTGAGGGACTTATCTACTCTTTCTTCCTATTTCAAAGTAGGATATTTATCCATTATTAGATGATAGACTTATTTTATAGTTAATTGGATTATTGGATGATGTTTTTAGGGGTTCTTGAATTACGGGATTCTCGAATTGTAATTTTGGAGAAGTATTAATGAAAGTATTATTTAATTGATTTTCCTTCAGCGAGTTACTTATTCATTTTATCTCTTTTTGTAATCTATCCTTGTTTGAAATACTTTAATTGTTTCTATATCCCCTTGGTTGTGTGCGTGGACTTGATCAACCCGTGTTCTGAAATTAGGGGGTATCACATCAAACCCGCCTCCGACGATTAGGGTGATTGATTTGTGACTTTGTGGACGCGACTGCGATGATCAGCGATGAAATGGCAGTCGGTGCTAACGAGCATGGCTGTGTTCGGCATTGGGCGGACACAAAAGGTGTCACTACAAAGAACAGAAGCTTGAAGAAGAGTGGCTATTCTATGCCCTATCCCGGAGAGTACATCGAGCTTTATGCTCGACTATGGTTGCTGGTTTGTGGATCCAGCGATTTAAGTGGTGGTGATGATGGTAAAGTGGCTATGGAGGACGACAAGATTGGAACGTCGTGAATACGCTTGAATAATTTGTTCACGTGGGTTCTTCCCTCTTTTCCGAGGCCATCATCGTCGGTGATTCGCAGCCGCCGTTCCAAGCTAACCCGGCCATCGCTACCTCTAATCCACAACCCAAAACGATTTAGCCGACCCTAAATTTCGCAGCCGCCATTCCGAGCTCGCCCGACCACCGCCATATCCAATCCACAACCCAAAATCGATCTGGCCGACCTCTGTTTTGTATGTGTGTGTGTGTGTGTGTGTGTGTATAGATAGATATATATGTGTGTGTGTGTGTGTGTATATATATGTGTGTGTGTATGGATGAGATTGATGTGTGTGTGTGTGTGTGTGTATATAGATAGAGATATATATGTGTGTGTATATATATATGGATGAGATTGATGGGTTGGGTTGAGGGGTGAATTGGATGATGGTTTGAGGAGGAGGAAGAAGAAGAAAGGTGTATGTTGGGGGTAGTTTGGTCACAAAAATAGTCAACAACACGTCAAAGGGTAGCATAGTCATTTAACATCTCAAAAGTACTATGATCCCACCAAAAATTGACATTTGGGGTGTAAATGAAATGTTAAACCACTAATTCAAATATAAGTGAAATTTAAAATCAAAATGTTAATCTAGCTGAAAAATGTCCTACCCTTAAGGAGTATGAGTGTAATTTACTCAAAATTTATAGCGCAACAATAACTAAAATAACTTGTGCAGTTGGCCAAACCATAATAAAATATGGCGAAATTGTAATATCTAGCTATTTTTATCAAATATAGAGCCACTTAAAAAAGAATTGATGTTAGAGATTGTATGGTACCAGTGAGGCCAGCACCCTCTATCGCTAATACCTCCAAACTCTGAAGTTTACCCATTTCTTTAGGAATTTCACCTGTAAATAAAATTTCCATCAATGTGTACCCTTTTATTTGAAAGGGAAAAAATCACTAATATCAATAAATTTATAGGTTCCCTGGGAATCACAAAGAAAAAACATTACATTCATAACTAGCACAACACATGCACACACTACCACCAAGGGCTATAGTTAGATTGATATCTCTTTTACTTTTCAAAGTAGAGGTGAGGTTTTCTTATAATTCTTTTTTGTTTTTCTTTATCATGGCAAATAACACATGCACACATTTACCCTTGAACTCTAAACCTTTCACGTTGGAAGATGAGGAACTACCACCCAACTACAATTTCAGAAGTAGATGTGAAATGTTTGAAGCATTAGCCTTCTACTTCCATTGTCAATTTAGGCTTAAATTGGTGTGAAGCAAGTTGAGAATGCTTTCTACTTTCATTTCACTTTTATTAAAGATCCATTCCACAACCCCAAAGCTTTGAGTCACTATGGACATGAGATGCAGTTAAATTTATGATCTGACGATCAGATCTTCCTGAAATGACAATTTTACCCTTGTCCTAGTCAAAATGGATTTGGGGCATGAATTAGACCTGTGGCTAAGTCTATTCCTTAGTTGGCCAATTCCAAAAGGATGGTGCAGTCAGAATTCTTATCGGATAATCAGATTTTCTGTTGTGTAAAATTATGATTTTGTAATTACTCAGTTTTGCTATCTTATGGGGAAAGAACTTGTGCCTATGACGGAAGTTTTTAGACCTTCTTTGTGCAATGGTGAGGTTAGATTTTCAAACTGACGTTTGGATTAAAAGAAGTGTTAAATGACCATTTTATTCCTATGGTGGGATTAGGCCATTTTGAGAGAAAGGATATGTCCAACTATGCATCTCCAAGGCAATATACGCTTCTTTACTTATGAGTGAAAGGAGTGGAAGAAGAGCTACAAGGTGCTACTCAAGATAGCCCCGCCTGAGGTTGACCTTGAGGATGCACCTCCAGTTGTACATCCAGTTCCACCACCAACCTTAGCTGCACAGCATCAGCCACAGGTTGAGCATTAGCCACAGCTGCCTGCACAGGATGAGCCTACCATTTCAGATCCTCAGGCTCCATTTGTCATGATGCAGGCTCACTACCAGTCTCTTCAAGATGACAATGCCAGCATTCAGGCAGGTGTGCAGGAGAATGTTGTTGCCTTAGGTTCAGAGATGCGGGCGATGATGTCTGACTTCCTTCGCCAGTTCCAGGGTTCTCATCCATCATCCTCTGCACTATGGCCATGATCTCCATCTCTCTCTCTCTCTCTCTCTCTCTCTCTATATATATATATATATATATATGTAACTGATACATTTATTCTTTTATTGGCCAGTCTGTTAGCCTTACATTTGGTTTGTACCTTTGGATATTTTATATTCTGTTATCATCTGGATATTTTGCAGTGTGTATATATATATATATATTTGATGACAATTACAAGTACATTGCTGTTTTGGCCCATTTGAGAGGATTTTTCCTCTCTTGCCTCACTTTGATATCCAGGGATATTTCTATCTCTCTCTTTCCCTTACTTCACTTGACTGCACTTTGCACAATCCCATGCCTTATACCATTTATGATCTTGATGATGTTTGTGCCGGTGTGCTCTTTTCAGGACCACTTTTTGAGTACAAGTTTGGGGGTAATTCTATCACCTTTCTGGATCATCACATCCTGTTTCTTCATGGCCAATGCTTCACTGATATACTTTCTCCATCTTTTCCATTGTTCTCATTGCACATTGAGGACAAGGTGCAGTTCAAGTTTGGGGGTAAGGTTGCTTCATTGCATTCATAAATAATGAGATTTGAGATTCTTTGGACCATGATTTTGATCTTTTGAAGCATAGATATTTCCTCGAAATGGCGAGTTTTAGGAGTCTAATATTTCTTGCATGCTTTATGATGCCAATTAGGGGTGAATTCTAAATTTTCAATATCATGCTAGCTTTTGTACTCCACGTCATCTTATTTGTTAAAAATGCTTTGGATATTGATTCTAGAATGCTACATTTGCAAAGGCGCACACTAGAATTCAAATTGTGGGGTACGTGCTTAGATGATTATTGTTTTGGTTATATCACATTTGAGCTAGTAGACTTTGAAGAGTCATCATTCTTAACAAAATGACCTTGCATGCTAAATAACAACCCCTTTTTCACCGAGTAACCGAGATTCTTGCCTCATTAAGCATTGAATTCTCGCGTCAAAAAGTGAAAAGTTGGGAAATGAGAAGTGAGAATTGTTTTGATTTGCAGCCTAGTTAGCTTGAGCTTTTAAGTCCGAAGGGGTGTCTTAACACCTAATGCCCTAAAGTCATCCAGTTTGGAAGTTATTGACCCAACGTTCATTACACAAGTCTTCTAGAGAGCTTAAGAGATCTTAACACCTAATTCCTCAGTAGGATCAACTATCTCTCCCTCCTGGCCTCCTTAAATTGGTGTGTTCTTGAATCAATACCATAATGCTGGTTCTAATGATTTAATTAAGTGGAAGCATGGCCTCTTTTCATTCAAGGTAGTATAGAATGTGTGTAGAGAACATAGTGGTAAAGTCATTTGGTGAATCATACTCTAGAATAATTGCAGACCAAGAGTTTCTCTGCAATCTGTCCTCATCCTGCAGAATTCTTTTCCTTCATTTTTCAACCTTAGGAAGAGAGGTTCATTGGTCCAGCTTTGTGCCACAATTGCTTCTCTGGTGCAAACTCTAGAGATCATCTGTTTTGGTGTTGTGTTTATGCTGCCCAGGTTTGGAAGTGGTTTATTCAACTCTACAAGTGGGAGGATTTGAAGAACTTATTACACTTCTCTGATGTATTGGATTAGTTCAGATCCCTAAAACAAAGGGTAATTCTTTAAAATGTAAATTGATGAGATGATTATTTACCTTTGTTCTCTGATGGATTTCGAACAAGATGAATAGAAGGGTTCATGTTGGCTCGACTTACACTCCTCAGCAACTGACAATAGATGATTGTTTTGAAGGACTATCATCTGCTAGTATATCCATTCAGGATCTTCAACTTATTATGTTTTGAAGGTCTATTGAGGGGAACGAGAGGAATATAAGGCTTCATGGTGGCTCGACTCACACTCCTCGGCAACTAACAATAGATGATTGTTTTGAAGGACTATCATTTACTACTATATTCATATAGGATCTTAAACTTATGTTTTGAAGGTCTATTGAAGGGCTCTATGTTTTTGCCAAATTTTGTTAATGGTAGTCTGTTTTGGATTCATGATGCAGATATTTTTGTGTTTTCCATTGGCTTTCTTTTTCCTTTTTAGTTTGGAGCATACCCTGAACTACTACTCCTCTAGTGATCTTTCCCTTTTTTATTACTTTTCCTGTTGTACTTTGTTGTTTTTTGTGTATCAATAAAATTAAACCATTCAAGAAAAAAAAAAAAAAAAAAAACAATGAATTTATCAAATAGGCCAAGAGTTGGCAAGGTCCATTGGAGGCAAGACAAGGATAGGCCCATCTATATCTCATTTCTACCCTAACTTAGAGAGTAAGCCAAAAATGACATTATGATTGGATAAAGAGAGCTCGGGATGGCAATGGGACAGGTATGACACGGATTTGCCTAAACCAGTCCCGGCCCCATTTAATTGGTGGGAATCCCATACCAACCCCATATCAGGAGGGGGATGATTTCTCAAATTGCATAACCGTCCCGTTAGAAGATAAATGAACAATGTCCGCCAAGTCTTGTTTTGGCAATTTTTTATTGTAGGCCTAAGCCCATTCATTGTTTGGATAATAGTATAAATAGAACCCAATAAATATATATATATATGTAGGTGTCACTTATTAAAAGCTGATGTGGCATGTTGACAAGTCAATACAACCCTAGCCAAATCCTCCGTGGTAATTTGAAAAGTCAAAAGCCTCGAAAGGTCAAATCTCAAACACTCTAAGCCCTGTCATCGCTCCAGGCCCTCAAGCCTCGAAAGGTCAAATCTCGAGCACTCTAAGCCCTGGCATTACTCCAGGCCCTCAAGCCTCGAAAGATCAAATCTCGAGCACTCTAAGCCCTAGCATCGCTCCAGGCCCTCAAGTCTCGAAAGATCAAATCTCGAGCACCCTAAGCCCTGGCATCGCTCTAAGCCCTCAAACCTCGAAAGATCAAATCTCGAGTACCCTAAGCCCTAGCATTGCTCTAGGCCCATCAAGTCTCGAAAGATCAAATCTCGAGTACTCTAAGCCCTGGCATTGCTCTAGGCCCATTAAGCCTCGAAAGATCAAATTTCGAGCACTCTAAAGCCTTGGCACCGCTCTAAGCCCACCAAGCCTCGAAAGATCAAACTTTGAGCATACAAAGCCCGGGGATTGCTCCAGACCCAATAAGTCTCGAGAAGCTGATCCTCGAGCATCCCAAGCCCTGGCACCACACCAGGCCCATCAAGCCTTGAGAAACCAACTCTCGAATACCTCAAACCCGGTGTTACGCCAGATAATACTGCTTTAAAAGGCTGGAGCTCCTTAGCACGAGATGAATGTAGGATCTTCGTGTTATAGGAATCCATATTTGGGAAACATAGAAGGATCTTGGATTGGTGGATGAGAAGTCAAGAGGTCCCTTCACTCTCGGCAAGGCCCAATTAACAAGATGATGGGATTATATTTATTGTGACAGCAAACCTTAAAATCACAATTAATGCTATGTCAGGCTTGACCAACCGACGGCCAATCAACATTTAATGCCCCTGATTAAGGGAGAAGTGACATGGCAACATGGGACAAGGCTTGAGGAAGGATTAGACCCTTCAGACTCCTAAATCTCCAGGATTACTCACGTAATCCAGATTAGGGGTAATGCATGCGAGGGACCATGCATGGAAGGAACTATTGGATAATAACCAATGGAATCCAGATCTATAAATGGCACTATCCTATGAAGAAAGAACTAACCCTGAAAGAAGAAAAGCTGTCATGAAATATTGTATACTCGCCCTACCACTATCTTTATCTTGATAGTTGGTCTTCTTCTCCTCCTTCGACACTGAGCATCTCCTCTGTTTTCCTTCGTATTTGTATTCCTGATATCTTTATTTTATTTTATTGTTATTTTATATATATATATAAATATATATATGTTTGGAAGCCTATTGAAAAGCAACCAAAAAAATATTAATAGTGAAAAGTAGTAAAGCCGACTCATTGAGAGTTTCTTAGGTTAGGTTAGGTTAGGTTAGTTTAGAAAGAAATTAATATATACTACTCGTGTGTGTATGTAATCCGCGATGGGTTCATTCTTTTCCTAATATATCCTAGGAAACAAGAATAATTTCCATACCCATCCCCATACAGAAGCCAGCGGCAAAATTGCCATCCCTATCCTTTCCTCTATATAAAAGGAGTGGAGTGGCCAACTAGGATTTACACAACTAACACACAATTAACACAGTTGTTCTCTCCTTAACCCTAATTCAAAGATGATCTAAAGCCCATTCTTCTTTTGCTTGTGAATTCTATCATAGAAGTGAAGATTTACGGGTGATTATAAGCCAAACAAATGAGATGAAGTTAGAATCAAAAGAAATGGAAAATTTCTGGTTCGAATTTTTCAGAGCAGTGCTACTGTTTTTATAATAACTTTTTCGTAACTAATTGGATGGAACTGAAATTAGCGTCAAAAGAAAGCTGACTCGAAGAGCTTCCATTTGATATATTATTTGCCCTATTTGGGGATCCAAAAACTGGTCAGAACTCTGTTTAAAGCTGCTGCACCTGGGTGCAAAAAATCAGTTGCGGGAATTGAAGTTTTTGCTCAAGGAGTTTCAAAGAGAGTGAAGATTTGCCTCCTCATAGGCCATATACAGGTTTTTTTCCTCTTTGGTAAACATATAATCATGATTGACTTATTAAAACCAGTTGACCGGAACATAGCCAATATTGTAATGGATTCTAAGGTTTTCGAACCTTCTGAACACAATGGCGATGTCCCTTTGACGAAAATTTTTATCGATCTTCCACCGTGCCATGAAAACTTTTGTTTCCCTACACTGAGGACTGGAAGTATCAAGGTACAATCCTTACATGATCTTTGCTAATTCGTAATTTACCAACTCAAACAACCATAATTTTCAAGAAGTCAGCTAATTTTGCAACCCTACATCTGTAATACAAAATTTTTGCATAGAGGCACATAGAGTGAATCAAATGAAAAACCAAGGTAGTATCATACCTTTCAAGTTGTTACCGCCGAGATATAACTCCTTAAGCGTTGTTGAGTTCCAAATCTGTCTAGGAATTTGACCACTGAAGTCATTATACGACAGCGACAAAAAGAGAAGCTCTAAGCATCTATATAAATTTGAATGGATTTGGCCATAAAAGTCATTGAAGGATAAATAAACTTCTTGGAGTTTTGGAAGACGATAGCACAAATCCACGGGAAGCATACCAGATAGGCGATTATTCGTAAAAGAAATTATTTGTAAAGAAGAAATGTTGAAGATGGTGGGTGGAATAGAACCCATAAGCTGGTTTTGTCCCATGCTTAATAACTTTAGGTCATGAAGACTACCAATCTCTGGTGGAATTTTTCCTTGAAGAAAATTGAACCTTAAAGTCAAGGTCTCTAGCTTTGAGATGTTAGAGAGGGAAGATGGGATAGTACCAACAAAACTGTTGTTAGAAAGAAGCAAGGTTTGAAGGTTAGATAAGCCACCCAACCATGGTGGAACATCTCCACTAAAGTTGTTAACTTCAAAATTCAAGAATTTCAATCGACGCAGATGAACCAACTCGTTAGGCAGATGACCACTGAAACTGTTATTACTAAGGTCAAGGGAAGCGAGAAACGAGAGGTTACCCATGTGTGGAGGAATGGTGCCATGAAGAACCATGTTAGAAATATCCAAGGCAGTGACTCTTAGGTGGCGAGTGCCACAAGTAACACCTACCCAGTTACAAATGGAGGTAGTTGTGGACCAATTATTAGCCAAGATGACATTAGGATCAAAAGTGATATGGGATTTCAAGGCTAGAAGAGCATATTGATCACGGGTGATGTTGGTTGGAGTACTCGTAGCTGAGCAAGCCATAAGAAACTGCACCATCAACACTGCAACTGTTGAAAAGAGGTTGGAAGTTTTCTCCATAACTGCAATATGGACTCCGTTTGACAAACAAGGATGGGGGAGGAGACGTATTAACAATGAAATCGTAGCTGGAGAATACAAAGGAACCTTTTTTGTTTTTGTTTTTTTCTTCCTGACAAATGATAATGAGAGAACTTGAACACTGACAAATTAGAATGGTTTTCCACTAGGTTCCGTTTGAGCGGAAAATGAAAATATTATGTGTTTTTTTAGTTGTCCTAAAATATTTATGAAAAAAATATATATTAAAATTTAATAAAAATAATTTATTTATCAATTTTTGACATGTTATTTTATACATTCTACTCGATGGATTTGATCTCAATCTCAATCTCATCCTAAAAAAAAATATTAAAATTTAACAAAAATATATATATTTTCTAAGAAGAACAAAGAGTCTTTTGGCAATGGATGCATAAATCATGTTAAATAATACGCTTTCTTTGGAGGTCATAGTGGATTCTTTGACATTATCATTAAGATATTTTCTTTTGAAATCAAAATTCTGTGGACATCAATTCCCTTCGTCCGGTATTACTTTAGTTCAGCCCCATCAAGAGAGATTGTGTCCTGCATATTAACGTGTATCAATAAAAGGTTGACACCTCTTTTATACTTTAAAAAATACATAACATGGGTTATATCTATTTTTTATAGTTAAACCCGACCGATCTATTTTACTCCTTAATTACTCAACTTTGAATGTTATTTTTAATTAACTCATACAAAATTATATTTTCTACATTTTTCTGTTATTTTTAATTTTCTTAAGATAGAAAACTATTCTTAAAAAAATAAAACTAACCATCTCTATTTTTTCCTTTTTAAAATCTACCTCAACTATTTTTTATGCATGCTATATATGAAAATATATTTTCTACATTTTTCTGTAAATAAGAATGAGAGCAAAAGGAACATAACAGAAACCATTGTCCTTATTTTTTAAAGCGAAAAAAATTCAAAAATTGAACAAAATCTCTCACTCGATTTAAGCTATTTGAAAGAGAGAGAAATTACACGCCGAATAAATATAATGTTTTAACATACCTATTTTAAGAAAACGAATCAATCCTTGCTAGAACCAAATCACCTGTTTTAAGAAAATGAATCAATCCAACTATTTTTTATTGATAAGTTCGAGAAATCAAATAAAAGATTAATTACACAAACCAAACACCCCTCTACTATCATTTGGTTTAAATAGGTCCTATCCGTCCATCTGTCGATACCGAAACTAATAAATGACTAAATTACCCTTGTTATGAAAAAAAAAAAAGAAAAAAAGAAAAAAACCCCACTCAAAATTAAATATAAATCATATATCTTCATACCGTGGTCTCACCATCTTCACCGACTTCCTCACCTCAACCTCTATTGCTACTAATTTGACATGCCACTTCTCCCTTACCCTCATCATCATTCCAAACTCCTTCCTTCATTCCTCCAGTCTGACCAACCACTCCCCCTCTGTAGGTGCAAGAAAACTATATCGACCATGATGGTATTCGGGGAACGATTTCTTATCTAAAACATTTAAGAGAAAAGCGCAAAAAAATTTATAAAGATGAATAAGGAGGAGAATAAAATTTTGCGCACCAAATTGCTTAGCTTTCATTGGGGCCTTTCGCCCTTATTTTTAGGTTACAACCCCTAATTGAGTCCTTCTTTTTCCTTATTATACAAGCTAGTTATTTCTATAATCTTACATGCCTTCCTTATCTTACAAAATCCTTTTCCTAATGGTACAAATATTACACTTGGGCTTGGTGAGCCTTCTCCTTACTAGGCACATGCTGGATTATTAGGACGAATTGGGCATTTCCTTCTTCCAAGCAATCATTCGGCTCACCTAGCAATATCAGACCCATTTCTTTATTCCTCCTAATGTGATTTTGAAGGAGACACGTGCCGTCTTGTATACCAGACACAATATTGTCCTCTTTTGTCTCCCCTAACCCAGACTTCTCAGGAGGTCACCCATCTTGGTACTACTCCAGCATAAGTACGCTTAACTGTGAAGTTATGATGGGTTCATGGGAAGCCACCCATCCTGATACTACTCCAACGTAAGCATGCTTAACTGCGGAGTTCTGATGGATTCACAACCATCATGGCTTTAAAACATGTTGTGTCGTAGAATGGTGTTAAACCTATATATAGCACTTTACTTTTTTTTTCGGAAGGTAAATGTTATAGCACTTCACCTTCACCATCCCCAAGCGATGTGGGATCATGACACTCGTAGCCTGCCAAGTGGTAGCTCGCCTAGTGTCAGGCATTCGCCAACAAAGTTGGCACAATTACCCCTTATGGGGCCCAACATCCTCGTTGAACGCACTTCTGGCTAGGTTCCGACTCTGATACCATTTGTAACAACGTTCACCCTACCCGACATAATATTGTCCACTTTAAGCTCTTCCAGACCAGACCAGACTTCTTAAGAGGTCACCCATCCTGGTACTACTCGAGCATTAGTACGCTTAACTGCAGAGTTTCGATGCGTTCACGACCATCACAGCTTTAAAACGTGTTATGTCATAGAAGGGTGTTGAACCTACATATAGCACTTCACCTTCACCATTCCCAGGCGATGTGAGATCATGACACTGGTAGGCTGCCAGTGTTGTAGCTCGCCCAATATCTAGCTCCTACCCACAGAGATCATCACAATCACCCCCCATGGGGTCCAACATCCTTATTGGCCACACTTCTAGTTGGGTTCCAGCTCTGATAATGTTTGAAATAGCCCTCATCCTACTTGACACAATATTGTTTGCTTTTGACTCTACCATATTAGACTTTCTAAGGTGGCATAAACACGTTTAACTATAGAGTTTTGATAGGCTCATAGTCATCACGACTTTAAAATGAATTGTGTCATAGAAAGGGGTTAAACCTACATATAGCATTTCACCTTCACCATCCCCAGGCGATGTCGTGTCATGACACCCGTAACCTACCAGTGTGGTAGCTCGTCCAGTGTCTCACACACGCCTACACCATACCCGCCCAAAGAGGTCGTCACATATTACGATTGGTGCCTTCTTATTACGATGTCATGTTCTAACTGGTAGGGGTTTTCTCTTCACACTTTGCCTCAATTCCCTCTTTGAATGAAATACACTGAAGAAATTTCAATTGCCATAAAAGTGGAGGAGTTTACACTATTCGTGCCCATAATTGTTTTCCTTAAAATCTGCGTTATGAGGTTATGTGCGGCCTGTTGGGATTTATATGCCCTGGTATAGCAAATTCCTATCTGGATTGTAGTGACATATGTTCCTGACATATCTGAAATATTTATGATTTATATAATTGGTGAATTCAATGTATTATGTTTCGATTCACTATGAAATTGATAGTGTCCATGTAATTACAAGAAATATTTATATATATGTATGTGATGACAATCAATGCATGATATATAAATAGTAATTATAAATTGTTCATAGTCGGTAATTATGGATGGACTCACAATTAATTAAGACTTGAACTGGATCCGCGTTAGGTTGAGATATATTGCGAGAGCCGTCGTATGCAATTACTCCCTATCACCGTCATGGCATTTGACTCTTAAGTATGAGAAAAGTATAGACTCTTTTATTAATTAATAATTACTTTGATTTGTTCGGCGGATTCTTCGGGATCCTTAGACCGACACTTTGGGTAGTTATGTAATTAATAGTTAGAGGGTTATATTTTCAATATTTGCATCATTGCTACTTGTATTTATTTTGTATTGATTATGGTTGATCACAAAGTAAATTCGAAGGCCTTCGTGTGTTTTTAAACAAAATGATTTATTATATATTTATTTATTTAAATTATTATTTTTGTCAAACAAATGTTTTATTGTGATCAAGCCAGAAATAATCAAAGGTACCAAAATAAATATATTAATTAAATAGTCGGATTGATGGCATTAATTATCCGATAACTAATTATGCATAGAGGGGTCAAAGTGCAATATTGACTTAGTGGTTATTTATTATTTAATAGGAGTTCAATTAATTTCTTTTAGTGGAGTAGAAATTAATTTATGAATTAATTGAATTGGGTCCATGGACCGGGCCAATTATTAATTCATTGTAGCCAATAAAATAATAGGCCCAATGGATTCTCACTCATAACCCAACTTGATATTGGAATCATATTAGATTTGAGACATGTGAATTAGAGATTGAGAAGGATTAGTTGTTTCCTTTTCTTTACCTTTATGATACCTATAAATATACATGGTCTATGTATATTTTAGGGGTGATTTTTAGTAGAAGGAAAAAGGAATATATATTTTCTCTCTCTAGAAAATTAGGGTTTATGTTCTCATCTAATGGAGGCTCCCACAAGCCTAGTTTTCCAAGGTCATTCATGGAGGCTTATGAGTGATTCCTAAAGGCAAAACAATTACCAAGAAGATGGAGATCCATGGAAAAGGTGTCTAGCAAAAGGGATCTACAATAAGTGAGAACGTTCACTTTAGAGGAGAGATCTAAGGTTTACTCAAACCTTGATGTAAATATTCAATCTTTTAATTGAATGATACATCATGTTTTATTTTTGCATAAAACTTGTCTCTATGTGATGAATCAAGATTTATGAATTTAAATCCCTCGAAAAGTTTTTAAAACTAGCACGTTTCCCCACAGTGGTATCAGAGCATGGTTTGATTCATTACTAGAGATCATGATTTTATGAAAATCATCATTCATGGATCCAAAATTATATTCATATATATTTTTATTGATGTATGTTGATGTATGATTTAATATGTTGATATATATTGATACATGATGATGTATGAATAATTGTGAATGAATGATGATGTATGGTTGGGCCATGGATGAAGTTTATAGGAATATTGAATGTAATTTTATTTTTGGATGAATGTAATTAAGGCTTTGATTTAGCCGTTTGAAAGTTCAATGATGTAATTTATTTTTCCCATTGTATTTCAAGTTGTAAATATTTTTAAAGCCATGTAATATTCATCAAAGGATGCTATGAAGCTTCAAGAAGGTCCAAAAGGGTTAAATTATGCTTCAGTAATTTTCTGGAATTTTTCCGAATTTTTTGGAATTTTTCTGGAATTTTTTGAGGCTTAATTTAATTTTTTGGGAATTATTCTGATTTTTCTGGAATTTTCTGGCGATTTTCCGGCGACCGGAGCAATGCCGGCGGCAAGGGACGGCGCCGGAAGATGGACGTATAATCCAGTGTAGCAGCACCCATGGTGCACTGAAGAGGACAGCCAATGGAAAAGCGCGTGAAGCACACGCGCTGACAAGG